AGAGGTCTGCGCGCCATGTGGGACCCTCCTCCGGTGGCCGGGGAGCAGCCGGGGATCGTACCGGCGCCGCAGAGGCCGCGCGCAGCTTCGCAACCCAGCGCTCAACCGCTGCGCCACCGGGGAGGCCCCATTTCACATAGTTTTAAACCTATATACGAAATCTCTTTAAAGCTTGAATTACCTTGATTGCAGGTCTTGGAGCCCAAACAAGATTTGTAGGAAGGATTTAGTAATTCATTACTCAAATTTTTCCAGGAGAAACTTCCCAATGAATATATGTGTAGTACATAATCTTAGAGATGAATCTATGAAGGGACTCAACTGTACCCCCAAATCCCACAACAATGGAAGCCTCCTAGCATCTCAGGGTATTTGCTGGGAGGAAGAATGGATAAGGGCGCAAGAATCCAGTTCAAACTCAGAGATGCCACAGGGGCAGGCCCAGCAAAGCCCAGAGCTCAGGGCTGCTCTGTGGCTTCTCCCTGTGAAGTCCAGCTCCCCTCTGTAAGCCAAGGGCAGTGTGAGACTCAGCAGTAAACAGGATTACCCAGGGCTGGTGTCAAAAAAGCTTTGTTATCATATTCTTCACTCCCCCAGCAGGACTCGGAGCAAGTCTACTGACCACATTCCCGATAACTCTGCAGTGACCTTTGGGAGCTCAGCTTTGTAAACCAAGAACTTTTTAATCTACTGCCTTTTCTAACCTGAGCCCAGTTGTGGTTTAGCAAGTTTTGGGAAATCCACTTCTCACCCCTTTTGTATATTAATCAGATAAGAGCAACCTTGGAGAGTTAGCATTTCTGGGACTCATGGAAGTTGTAGAGAGAGGACTGGATGGAAACCCAATAGCTTTCCATAGGAACTCGGGAACCAGCTCTGAAGTCATCCAAAAGTGGAGACAGCCTCCCATAATCTCCGGGATGCCAACTAATCACACACTCCTGCAAGGCAGAAACCAAAGCCAGGAGCATAACCTGAGCCTCTTGCTTCACCACAAACCCTGCCTGTACCACCACCGATTTGTGAGACACTAACTCTGTGAAGGAGACAGGGCTAGAGTCAGCCCCCTTGGTGGGTCCACACTTCCTCTGATTGGCTGCTTCCCTACCCCCAGCTCTGGTCCTCAGCAGAGGGATTTCCAAAACCTGAACCACCTAAGGGCCTCCCTGGTGGCGCAAGGGGTTAAGACACAACCTATGAAGCTATCCACAGCCACTGCAGCACAAGTTTGATCCCCAGCCAGGGAGCTACCCACATGGCAGAGCAGACCTCTCCTGACTTGCCCGCTGCTCCCCTCAGCAGTGTATTTCAGTCAATCCGCCTGTTCTGTTCCCCACTCTGTCTCTGGTGAATCCTCTTACCCCCCAACACCTCTGGCCTGTAGCCCAGTTCTTGTATGCCTAAATAAATAAATCTTTAAAAAAAAACAAAACAAAAACCTGAAGCACCTAAGGAAGGCTGTTTAGGACAACAAAGTAATAGAACTGGCAGGGAACTCTAGGCCAATCCAACCCCTTCACCATGTTGACAAGGTAACAGTCAGAGAGGAGAAGCTACATGCAGCTCACCCACCCCTCCAAAATAAACATTCTGGCAAAGCCTCAAGAAAAGACAGTGACTCAGAAAACCAGGACTGGGTTGGATTGGGTTCTTTGTGGGGGCAGGGGAGGGGGGGTCGTCTTGGTGTTTAGGGGGTACTAAAACAAAACAAATCTGAGAAAATAACCCTGTCCCTTTAAGGTTCACTGCAGCCAGCACTGCAGTTGCTCAGGGGTTCTGGGGGGCCCAGCTGGCTGGAAATGATTATGGTGAGCACCAGGAGCCCAAGTGTGGGTTTCCTGAACCTCTACGTGGGGTACATGGAGGGGCCAGAGGAGTCTCCCCCCAGTACTGAACTGAGTTCTAAATCACCCAGGAGGAAAAAAAGTTGGGAAGAAAGCCACATGGGTGGAGAAGCAGGGAGGAGAGAGACCAACTTTAGAAAGTCTGGGAGAGGATTCATGCAGCACAAAAAGACCCAACTGCAACCGCAGGGGCAAAGAAGTCGGGAAGCGCTGCCAGGCGGTCAGCAGTGGTGAGACTGGCAGCCAGTGGGTCAAGCTGGGATGGAGGGGGCGGAGGTTTAAATTTAGTCAGGTAAACAGCGCTGGCAGGGAGGAGAGGGCCTGGTAGGTGCCGTCACCTGCTCCCCTGACCTGGCACTTGGCAATGAAGGGAAGTCCAGGCAGAACTCTACCAAATAGCAGGCCAGTTTTTGGGGTTCGGCCTAACACGCTGCCCTGGGAGGTGGGCAGACTGCACCACAGAGATGGCTAGAAGGTTATTTTGACTTTAAAGGGTCTTTTCATCTTTATCCTAGTGCCTCCGCCCCCTCCTCTGCTTGATTTTCCCGCAGGCCTGGATGCAATTCGAAGATGCTCACTAGAAACCACACAAGGGGGGGCGTCAGGTGAGGGTGAGGCATCCCCACATTCTCTCCTCACTAGAGGATTTTTATATCTACCATGGCTGATGTGAGTCTTGAGAGACCTGAAGGAGCTACAAAGTCACCAGCCACCACAAAAACTCAGGTGTGGGGCTGGAACAAAGGTGAGTCTGAAGACCTGTGCAGGCGACAGATGACGACAGGTGGTTTCAAAAAGAGCTGGGAGGACACAGTCAGAATGGAGAACAGGAAAGCTTCTGTGGACTTACTGGAGTTTATTTTGGGGAAGGCCGGGACTATGTAAAATCTCCTCCGGTGCTAGAGATGGCAGGCTGCAGCACTCCAGAAGCCAGGAGAACGATCCCAGAAGTAAGAATTGGAACAGACGAACTAGCCTGGTCCTCTGCCCTTCTTGAAGAAGAGCAAACAAAAATCTTCCAGCTGCCACCAGAATAAGAGGATGAAATACGCAGGTGAAAAACCATCCAGATATTTTCTTTCCAGAGCAGACGGCCCCCAGCAATTTGGTAACATCCTTTTCACTCATGCTTGAGGAATAGAAAACATTTGAGAAAGGGTTGTTTCAAGCCAGTAAGACAACCAACCGCCAAAGGAGCTAAATGAGGGGATGGTTTTAGACACCCTGAGCAAACACCTACTGCACACACACACGCACACACACACGCACATGCACACACTCTTGCTCCACATTCATATTGAAGTGCATAAGAAATGAGAGCCTGGGAAAGTAGGAAATCCAGGAGTGGAAAGGGGCCAGCAAGCTCCTCCAAGGCTGGCTCCTGCTCCCCTGGCAGGCAGACCCCACAGTGTGTCACACGCCCTCTGCCTCTGTCTGATTTTCTTTAAGAAAGGAGGCGGAGGTGTTGCTCACAGCTGCTCTTCAGTATTTCTCCACACACTGTCTCTTTAGGTCCCTTCTGCATTCACCTCCTGCCCCGGTGTCAGCGCCACACTCCAGGTTTCAGTGTGGAAACCTGACTTTAGTCTGCCGCCTTCCCCGGTCCCCTGGACTTGACATCACCACGAAGAGCCCCCACTGCATCACCCTCTAACAATTGCACAGAAGAGGTCTCTCAGAATTGGCTTTCCTTTGGAGGAGGCACACCTCCTTGCTATTTATAACCGCAAATCTTCTGTGTCGAGGAGAGAACAGACACTATTTTGAAATGGAGGAAAACCACCACTCAGCTTTCCACCTCTTGGAGGTTGGTGTGTTTGCCAGGGCCTGCGTGTGTGTGAGCCTAGACAGGCGTGTGGGCACAAGCTCCGGGCCTGGCATCCGCCCATCCATGCCAGATTGGAGTCTTGCCTTTGATAAGCAAACCCCACGTCTGAATCAAACAGCAGCAGGGGCAGCCGAGTCCAAAAAAGAGTCCTCAGACTTTCTGAGGATGTACCTGTGGCTCGCACCCCTGTGGCCCTGGGGGTCAGCCACAGAAAGGGTTGCTGAGGTTTCCATCAGGTGTGCCCACGAGTGCTGGTGCTTGGGCAGGAGAGTGATGGTGCCCCCCTGACCCACCAGCTTCTGTGCGGGCACGGGCGGCATGGCACCCACGTCCCATCCCAGCTCTGTCAAGTGGGCACACCGCTCGGTGACAGGAGCAGCTCAGAGGATTGGTGACATGATGTCGAGTCTTTCTCCTCAAGTACCAGATTGAAACTCTGTCCAGGGTGGTAGAAACTGAAAGCTGCTGCCCACGCGGCCAGGTGGCAAAAGCAATGAAGGACCAGGGCACGCAGCCAGCAAATCCCCGCGTTCCCAGATGAATAACCCAGCCCTGGCCTGAGTGGCCTCAGTTTCCCCGCCTGTAAAAGAGAACCGGGCGTGCGCCAAGCAAGCTGAATTCCCTGACAACGGTTTGCAGGTTGTAAAGATCGAGCAAACCTGGCTCTGACTCCCGCGCCTCGCCAAATACTGGAGCGGGAGAAAGGTCTCTGCCCCCTCCCGGGGCAGGGAAGGGTGAGGCGCAGCCTTGACCTGCGCGGGGTTCGGGCGGGGATGCAGGCGCCGCACGAAGCCCGCGCGCGGGGTCACAGCGATGCCCGAGCAGCCCCACCCCGGGCCGGCGCCGCGGGGCGCAGCCCTCCAGCCGGGGAAGGTGCGCGGGCAGCTCGGACGCGGCTCTCCTTTCTCCGACAGCCGCGGGGTGCCGGGCGGCAGCCCCCGCCACCCCTCCGCCGCCCGGCCCCGGGGCCCCCGCGAGGCGCTGGGGGGGGGAAGCCGAGCCCACCTGCCCGCGGCGGGCGCCGACGCTCCCGCCGGCCGCCCCAGCTCTGGTCGCGTCCCCGACGGGGGCGACCGGCTTCCCCGCCCGCCCCCACCCGACGGCTCCGCGCGCCCCGCGCCCCGCGAGCCCGTGGGGAGGGCAGGGCCCGCTCCCCGCAGCCGCCCCTCGGGGCTCCGGGACCCCCAGAGCCCGCGGCGCCCGCACCCTGCCGGCCCGCGACGCCGGGACGGGCGCGGGGAAGTTTCCGCGGGGGCCGGGGCCGGGGCGGGAGGCCGGGGGGCGGCGCAGGCCCGCGGGCGCCCTTCCCTCCGCGGCGCGGCGCTTACCTGCGCGTCCCGCCGCCGCTCGGGCCCGCGGGCTCCGCTCCTCGCGCGCTCGGCTGCGCCGGGTCGGCGGACGCCGCGGCGCGCGCGGTCCTGGGGGCTCCGGGGGGCTCCGGGGGCTCCCCCCGCCGGCGGGGCCCGGGGCGACCCCGCCGCTCCGCTCAGGGCGCGCGCCGCTCGGGCCGCCGCTCCGGGCTCGGCATCCGCGGCGAGGCGGGCGCGCTGCGCTCGGGGTCCCGCCGAGGCGTCCGCCCGGCGCCCCCAGATGCTGGGGCAGCCTGCGCCGGGCCCGTGGAGCCGCGTCCGGCCGCCCCGGCCCGCGGAGCCCGCGCCCTCTCCCGCCGCCGGGGTGGGGGCGTCCGGCTCGGCCCCGGGACCCCGAGCTCGGGGGCGGGGGCGCCGGGGTGCGGAGTCGGCGCCGCCCGGAGGAGGCCCTGGGCCCGGGCGGGGGTCGGGCCGCGCGCGGTCCCCCGGGGCGCGCGACCTGAGCAAGTTTCCGCCCCGAGTTGGCTGCGGGGCGGGCGGCGGCCGCGGCTGCGAGTGCAGGGGCCGGCGCGGGCGAGTGGATCCCGGGGGCTCCGCGCCTCCGCCCCGCCTCCCGCCTCCTCCCCGCCCCCGGCAGCCGCGGCGGCCCCGCTCGCTCCTTCCCACCCGCGCGGCCCGCGCACCCCTCCCGGGGCTCCCCGGGACCGGGGCGGCGCACCTGCCTCCCGCCGCCCGCGCCCGCCCTGCCCTCCCCGCGCCGCCCGGGTCTAGACGCGGGGGTGCGCTGGGGGAGCCCCCGTCCGGGAGCCCCGCGCCCAGCCCCCTCTCCCGGGCCCAGCACACCCCCCGACTCCTTTTCCCGGAACGTGACCCGGACCTCGGGGACGCAGCCCCCCAGCACCCCCCTCCGGGCACCCAGCGCCGCTGCCCGCGCTGCCCACCTGGGGGGTCGGACCTGGGGGCTTGAGAGGGAGAAGGAGCCCAGCGGTAACTCATCTGCGCGCCCAACATTTGAACACGCTTTACCTTTGAGTTCTTCTGCCCCCCTCCCCTCACTGAACCCCCCACCCCCGTTCCAGAAGTGATCTATTGTTTCGCTTTGCAAACCCGAGCCACTTCCCTGCTAGTCCTGCAACCTCTTCTGCGGCTCCGCACAGACGTCTCTGGGATATGGAAATCTGATGAGGGTGGCGGGGACACCAAGAAAAGTGTTTCCAAATGGGGAATGCCTTCTCTCATCGCTGCTGACAGCTGCGGAGCTTCATTATTCACCTGACTTTTTATGGGGTACAGAAAAGTGGCACGGCCAGTCCTTAGCCGCTGCAGGGAGTTCCCGGCCCGAATGGATGACCAGAGTCCAGTGGACAGTTTCAGCTCAGAAGGAAGTTGGAATACTTTTATTGAGATCAGGAAGTCTTGTTGGTAGGTTATCCCACAGCACCCTGGATGAGCTGCCCAAGAGGGAGCTTGCCAAGATCCCACCAGAGACAGGTGCTGAAGCCCCAGCTGCTGGACCCTGGTCCAGACCCTAGTAACTTGTGCCAACCACGTGTAGCCAGCAAATTTTGAGGCCTGAGCTCCAGCTACCTTTTCTTTTCTATTCTGAAACCCAGGCTCTTCCCTGAGTGAGCTGGAGGTCCCTCTGCTAAAGAAATGGCCTTTGAATGCAGTACAGTGAGAGAGAGAGAGAGAGAGAGAGAGAGAGAGAGAGAGAGAGAGAGAGAAAACAATAGCAATAATGGAAAGCTTTGCCTTCTCTTAATTAGTAACCAAACAAGGTGATGGCCTTCCCCTTTCAGTGGGGGAAGGGGCAGCGCAGAGTCAGGGAATGAGGGAACCTACCACATTGGCCAGCAATGAGGAGCTATTGTCCTCTGGGTTTTACAATAAGGAAAGTAAGAGCTGTTTTAGCAAATACCCCACTAATTAGCAGGAACGGATCCTTGGAATTGTGCTGGCTTCGGCAGGAAGTGCACGGCTGCTTTTCTCACCCCTGCTGAATGGGGTTTATGAGACCAGGTCCAGCAACCTTAAATGAATGGGCTATAATTATCATGGAGTGGGGGCACTGCCTTCACTGGGGGGAGCTAGTTCAAGGCTTTGTCTTTGGGGACAGATGGAGCAAGGAGACGAGGTGGTCTAAAGCAGGCATAAAAGCCTTGAATTCACTTTTTCAAATTCCAAATAGGCGCAGTTCCTCTCCTCAGAATAAAGCATCTGGGGTGGGATTTTTTTTTGTGGGAGGTCAGGGAAGGCTTTTCCTAGAGACCCCTGTCATTCCGGAATGCAATCTGGGAGAATTTGGGGACTCACTTCATACACCATTTATTGAGCCCTCAGGCATTCAGAGATGACAGAGCGTTCCAAGCCTCATGTAGTTTGGTGTGGGGTGAAGTGGGGACAAACTTATTTGGGTCCTAGAATGAGCACAGGGAGGGGCAACGTTGCTAGGTCTTTAGCTGACCACCCAGGAGAGGCTAGGTTACAGATGACAGCAGCCCCAGCTGAGTGTCCTGTGGGCCTCCTTCCATATCTCCTTGTAAGATGAGTCAGTGGGTGCAGTCAGGCCCCAGGAGGAAGCTACAGTGCCCCCTACAGTAAAGAGCTTCTGACTGAGTAGCTGGGAAAACATTGGGGTGAGGAGTCAGCGGAGACCGATGGGCCCGCACCCAGGGTAGGTGGTGAGTGTCCCATTGCTTGAGTCCCTGAACTACTGGGGGATCCAGAGCCAGCCCTGCAGGAAGCTCTGATGGGAATGCAGGCAGATGTCACCAGTGACTTGTCTATGATTGCTGGATAGGGACTCTCGGCATTCTCCCCAATAAAACACATCCTGACTCGGCATTTGTAGTTTAAAAAAAAAAAAGATAAAACAAATATTTGGACCTATGAAGGTCTGCAATGACACCTGCTTTGTTTATTGGAGACACTGTTTCCACTTCCTGATCATGCCCTAGCAGGCCACCAGGATACTCCAGGTCCCTTACAAGTCAGAACATCTAACAAAAACCCTGGTGGAGCAGGGGTTGAAGACAGCACTATCAAGCTATTGCCAGCCACTGTGGCATGAGTTCAATGCCCAACCAGGGAACTGACCCACATGGCGCAGCAGACCTCTCCTATCTCTCCTGCTGCTCCCTTCAGCATTATATTTCAGTAGATCTGCCTTTTCTGCTCCCCACTATCTCTGGAGAATCCTCTCAACCCCCTGCACCTCTGATATTGTATGCATAAAAAAAAATAAATAAATCTTAAAAAAAAAAAAAAAACTGTTGGAAAGTTAAGAGGTGCCAGCCTCCTTTCTCCTTAGTTCTCAAAATTTTCTAGGGGAGGGCATATCTAGGGTGACCTCTGACCCCAGAGCTGTGCAATTTCTGGAACAATGGTGTCTTTCCATCCCAACACCAGGAGGAAGAGCTTCAGGTAGCGGCGCTGTTCCTGTTGCTGAGTGGCAGGAGGACAGTAACCCTGTTATCGGATAATCTGTGTTGCCCCAGTCCACGTCTCTGCTCCCGTTTATGATTTATTTGGGATATACAGAAGATGTCTTCTTCCAAGCCCAGAAAAAGATGGAGAGGCATAATGAATCATTTTTTATCCCTCCAGCTATTTCACCTCTATTGTCCCTTGTTATTCACTGTTCATTTTGTGTTTATTGTCTGCATGCAACATCCATCAAAATCTCTGTTTTTCTATGATCAGGGTTTTAAAACTTGGTAGGATCTGGCCCAATGATCCAGACACCATCCCCACAGACTCACAATCACTGAGGTCATCTGGAACATGTGGGTCGAGGGGATTCTGAGGGCTGAAGGCAGCAGGGTTGGTAAGAAGAAAACTCTGCAATCATGAGTTTGAATCTGGGTATGCAATTTACTTGTAGGGGAAAAGTACAGATGAAGATCCCAGCAGAAGTCAGAAGAATTAAACTGTTGATGGTCTTAACACCCATGTATGCAGACCTACCACTTTATAAATGACTTCCACAGTTTTATCTAAAGATCCATCAAAATGAGATCAGTCCTGTTCATCTCACTTGGAGGGGTCTCCCTAACCAGTTCTCTCCCAGAGAGAAGTGAGTGCTCTCCAGGGAGGGGGTGTGGCCACTGGTGGGTGGGGGGTGGGAATCTAGACTCACTGCCTCTGCCATGTTCAGTGAGACAATGATCTCTCTGAGCCTCAATTTCCCCACCTGAAAGGGAATAGGGTGTCATCACCTGCCTCATTGGCATGTGAAAATTAAATTGGAGAATGCAGATAAGGAAGCCAAGAATCATTTCTCACATGTGGTACATACTCAATAAATATTAATAACAGCACCATTACTAGTACATAGACATGACCTGATTTTCTTCCATTTGAACAATCGATATTGCTCAGTCCTTGAACTTCCAGATTTTTATCCCAATTTTTTTTCCTCCAAAGAAAAGACACATGGAATCCTAAAGTGTTCCTTGAATGAATTAGTGCCTTATAAATGTCTAGAATGAAGCCCCAAGGTGTCACTAAAAACTGTCAAAATCTGGAGGCTGCAGCTGATGGGATGGAAGGTTTCCAGAAGCCTGTCAGTATCACTTATCAGGGGCCCATGCAGAGAAAATGGGGGTACTAATAAATGCGGCCCCATTAGTAAACTGCTCCAATATTTGAGCAAAGAATAAGGTACTGGAACCCCTCTGGTGGCACGAGGGGTTAAGTGTCAGCACTATGAAGCTATCCACAGCTACCGCAGCACCCAACTGGATCCCTGGCCAGGGAGGTGACCCACATGGCGCAGCAGACCTCTCCTGGCTCGCCCATTGCTCCCCTCTGCAGTATATTTCAGTTTGTCCACCTGCTCTGCTCCCCACTCTGTCTCTGGTGAATTCTTTCATCCCCATCCCACACCCTCACCCTCCCAATGATAAGTTAAAATGTATCTGGCCTGCACCCCAGCTCTTGTTTGCATAAATAAATACATCTTTAAAAAAATCTTTTTTTAAAAAAAAAGAAGAAGGTACTGTTTGGAATTGCAGTGGACATGACATGCTAGTTTCCTTTGAC